AGGCAGTCCACAGCAAAGCAGTGTTACAGTAGTGAAAGGTCAGGCAATAAGAGCTATTTTTTTTAATGAGGGGAAAATGGTACTATGCTTCACAAAACAAGACCACAGGCTGCTCTTTGTTAGGAACTAAAGGCGATTTATAGCTCTTCTTGTGTGAACTAGTAAGGGACTCTACTCCAAATTGGGTACCTACTTTTTGTCAGTAGGTTCAGTAGGTTTTGAAGGGAAAAGTTTAAAAAAAACTGGTATCTATTTAGTTTCTGGTATTTTGCTGGGAAGGGTGGGGGACTGCATTTGCATGCATGGACTATTCTAGAGGTATTTCCTGAGTGCCCCATTTAGCTGTCTTGAAGTCCTGTTTCATTTTGTGGCTTTGCTCAAAGTGTGTGGCAGAGGTATTCTACCAAGCACATCTATTTTAAACCGTGTGGCACTTACCACCTCCCAATGCCAAGCCTTTGATTAGGCAGAGCCAGTGTAAGGCCAGAGCACAAAGATCTAAGGCCATGTGATTCCTCCCCAAAGTATCCTGTCTCACACTTGCCTTCCCCAAATTGCAGGTTAGTCCGTGAGATGTTGATATATGTTCTTCCATCTTCTGCGGTGCGCCATGGCAGTTGCTTTCACTTCTTTCTCGTGCTGATTTGTGCTGTGCTTCTAAATCTGATGGATCCCTAGCTAAAAGGATCCACTGGACTATCTCGTTAGCTAGCTAGCTAGCTAAGGGGCTGTGGCTGCACTGAAAGAGCAAGTTGAACATTTCAAGTTTCTAAAGCAGCTTCCTTCTGTCTGCACCCTTAGACTTGGGCTCTCCAAGGCTGCAGATACTGGCACTTCTGAGCTTGACTGGGTTTCTTGTGAGAGTGCTAGAATTACTCTCCAGGGCTAAATATAGCTTATATGTAAGTCCTAGTCTGGTGGGGGCTGAAGCTTGCCTGGCAGGGACTCAAGTTTCTGGGGATGCAGAAAGAAGCAGGCTGTAATAAGACAGCTTCTAAAATGGGATCTCTGAGGACCCAGCGAGCTGGCACCTACAGCCAGGCCTTGGTCTGGTCTATTTCTGGCTTTTTAAACTCAGACAAAAGTTCTTAAAATTGGACACATCTGCTTGTAAGCTGTTAGTTCTGCTAGGCTGTGAGGTGCTTTGTGATCAGGGTTTTGGGGGACGAGTCCTGTTGCATTGTCTCACCACACTTCTGTCATCTTCTCGGTTTGTGTGTGATGTTTTCTAATTGTACATCCTCAGAGTTCAAAGCAAAACTCTGGCCCTCATCCAAGGCCACCTTTAAAACATGCTCCCTATAATCATCTGCCCAGCTGTAGTTTGATGTCAGGAGATGGGGCAGACAAGGTCTGTCACTTCCTAACACTCAGACTATCCAGAAACTGTTTAAATAAGGTTTTGTGGTGGGAGGTGTGTGCGCACACCTGTGCATGCGCGCTGCACCCCTCACTTGCTCTTCTAATGACGTTTGGAGGTTTCAAACTGCTTGTTTGGGGGGAGAGAGGAAACTGGTTCCTGAATTACTGTAAAAATTTGTGACTGGAATGGAGATCTGAAATACTTCTTGCAAACGTCACCTTAAGCAGATGATTTTAGATGCTCACATTGAACCCCGGCAGTACATCTACCTGCAAGCCTCCCTCTTGCCCACCATTGCACAAGGTGCTCCTTTTGAGAAGAGAGGCTCTTTCTCATCTCTTCTTTGCCCATTGTTACATTGTGTAGCACAAGATGGAACTTGGAAACTACAGAATATATAGGATTTGTAAGAACTGCAGCCATTCCCAGGGTTTCAACTAGCTGTTACACAAATCAGTGCTAAGCAGGTCCTTGTCTGTCTTTAAAATATAGTAAAAAGTCAATTGGAAGATCAGTGCACATCTTCAGATTGCTGCTTATCCATCGGTATCCTGACTTACTACTGAGGGTTAAACTTCATTCCAGTGTAATATGAGAAAAAAATTACAGGTAAGAAAATCAGTCTGTACAGTCCGAAGGCAGATCGTACCAGATGTAACCAGCTCCAGCAAGTGTTAGGAGCTGCAGACGTTTGACTGGATTCTGAACTGTGCACATTGATGCACTGAAGCTTAGTCATTTAAATACCTTGCTGGGCCAAGGAGCTTTACCTGCAGCAGATTACATGCACATTACAGGCCTGCTGGTACCCATTTGTTAAACCAAAACGGTTCAAATCCACTCTTCCTAGCCGCTTTTGAAGGCCCATGTTCACTCTTGGGGGGGGGTCTCGAGGGGTGGGGGAACCTGTTAGGCAGAGCATAACTAACAAATTGTTGTGCCTTTCCTTCCTTTTGGAGGAGGGGGGGCAAATTGAGTTGTTGCTGAGGCCACGTATTTATCTTAATACAGCCAAGGTGGCTAAAGCTACCCCTTTGCAAAATATCTGTAAAGCATTTGACTGCCCCAACTGTGACCCATGGTTGTGGAGTTTAAAACATCTGAAATGCAAAACTCTAGGACTCTTGGCTCAGAGATGATGCCTTTTATTAGACCAACTAAGAAATTGCAAAAAAACCCATCTTTTTCTGCAAGCTTTCGGGCACACATGCCTTTCCTCAAACAAACACAGCTACCAAATACATCCCTTAAAACATCTGAAGCATTTTGAACCCCTTAGATGAAGGAGGGAAGTGATTATTTAGACATGGGATCCTTTCTCTCCAGTTCCTCTGCATGTTAGCTAATGGGCCCAGTTCCATAAGACTTCCCTGATGCTGGTGACTTTTTTTTTTTTTTTCCCCCCTGCTAAATTCTAGGGATTTGAGCTATAAAATGTATCTGGATGCCAAGCACTCTCTGCTTCAAAGTTTTTTCAGGGTTCTGCATCCCAAATGCCTGCTTTGGTTCCTGAAGCACTTGGGGCTCTTTGCAGGCATTTCTGCCCTGATGGATATTCATCTGTTCCAGCATCCAGAGAATTTCCCTTTCTGAGCTATTAACTCATGTTGCATGTGGTCCTGTTGGGTTTAATCCTGGGCATTGCATGCTTGAGTATTTGGGTTTTTTGTTTTGTTTTGGGGGTTTGTTTGGGGTTTTCTGTGTTTAAGATTAGCTTTCCTATTTTAGTAATTTTTTTCAACTTGGTGAGTGCAGAGGATACCTCATTGTCAGGGAGAACTTTGTACCCAAGAGTCTGCAATAGTGTGAGCATAGGCCTGGGAGCCAGAACTTCAGAGATCAAAGATTGAATAAAGGTGCAGGATTCCCAAAGACTGAGGAAATCGCCAATCTCTTCCTAGTTCCCTGTTGGTAAAATGGGGATGGAAGCAGTCCCCTGGGAGGGAGACAAGAGCAAATCTAATGTGCAACTTTCAGTCATTTGCCCATTACCCTTTTCTGGCCCCCTCCTAGAACCCTAACCAGTATGTTCAAACCATACAAATAGGAGCATAGGACTGATAGGGATCTCCATGAGTCACTGAGTTTGGTCCCCTGCTATTGCAGGCAGTGGAGTTGTATACTCCCAACTTTAAATGTAAGAGGTTATTTGTGCTATTCCTCAAACTACTTTTCTGCCCGTTCTTTCATAGAAACCATGGGGAGGCATTGAGGTTGGTGCTTGAGGGTCTGTCTTCCTCCCACCATGGAGCTCCACAACTCGAGTTATGCCCCAATAAGATGAATCAGAATTTTTTTTCCCTATTAAAGCACATGCTGTGCCGGGTGTCCTTCCTCTTTCTCCCCAACCTTCCTCCTGTGCAGGGAGGCTGAGCAGATAACAGCTAACCTCAGCTGATTAAATCCATTCTCAAATGTTCATCCCACCCCCAGCCCAAATACCCTGAGAACTTAATTGGCTCGTGGCCGAGGCCAGAGCTGTAAATAGATGAGAGCAGGCTTGCTGATGTAGAGAAGAAATGTCTGGGGTAATGTGAGCATCCTGCATATCTCCAGGCAGCTTCTCCCTGAATGCCTGTTCACACTCTCCCTCCATGCTCACATGACAACCCCCCTCCTCTATCTTATCCCTCCAAGGAGGACTTGCATCATCCAGTTTCCTCTGAGACCCTGAGAAGGTGAAGACCAAACTTGTAAAAAAAAATAAAATAAAATAGGAGCAATTCTCACATTCCCAAAGCCTTCTAGTGGTCTAGCCTGAACCACGACGGGGAAGAAAGGCAGCAGCACTTCAGTTTAAACAATTCTTGCTTCTCTGCTTGGCTGGAATAAAGCAGAGCTTGGATTAGGTAGGCAGCAGCATGCTCTTTCTGCTGGACAGGATAGTCAGTAGTTGCTAATGTTGGACCATAGCTGGACGTGGCCTGCTGTCGTCTTGCTGTCTGTACCCAGCATATGCTCCCATTTGCAGCCTTTCTCCTTGGAACTGCATTGTGCCCTTTCGGTGTTGCCGATATAACAGGATCCTCTCCTGGAGAGGACAGATGTGTGAGTAGAAATGGCTTGCCTGTTCAGCCATGAGGTGAAACTTGAGGGCCATATTATGCTACAATAGTGCATTAGGTGAGAAGCCTTTTTATATTTGATTCTAGAGCAGTGGTTTTCACCCTTCTTTCATTTGTAGACCCCTTTAGAAATTTTGAATGGAGGTGTGAACCCCTTTGCATTGTAAATGTGGGTATTCACGTACTTTTGGTCATAGTCATCTTTTGCAGACCCCTTAGACTTACTCTACGCACCCTAGGGGTCTGCAGACCACAGTTTGAAAACCACTGTTGTTGAGGCTGATCCACATTACCAGCTAGTTGACCAAGTTTAGCAGGAAATGTTTTAAACACAGTTCTTGCCCTCTATTTGAGATGTCATCTAATTTGACCCAGATTTTATTCTGTTTATACAGGCAAGATGATTGTTTGATACCTAAATAGCAATGACCTCAGCTCTGACTGGTGAGGATTAATACATGGTACAGTGGGGCTTTGCCAGCCAGACATCTGGTCACAAAAGAATATTATGGAGCTGGGTTTGGCCTGTTCTGCTATGTAGCTTCCTCACACTTCTTTGTCTGTCTTCACAGAGAGGAGGTCCAGGAGAACTGTGTTCGTTGGAAGAAGAAATTCACCTTTGTATGTAAAATGAGTGCCAATCCTGCCACTGGCCTCCTGGATCCGTGCATCTGCAGAGTGTCTGTCCGTAAGGTCAGTAGCAGCCTCTACCTCTGAAGATGCTACTGTCGGAAAGAAACTGGAAGTCATCGTAGAGAAGTAGGGCTGGGAGGGACCTCCATAAGTCATCTAGTCTAGCCCCCTGTCTGAGGCAGGATCATCCCAAGCCAAACCATCCTATACAAATCCATAATCTAATGTCTTCAGTAAAACTACTGTCAACTCTGACACAATGCAAAGCGTAACCCCCTAACCTGCTGCAGGGGAACCACGGCAGCCAAAATGAGTTTGTCCAATATTTGTTGCCTGGCTGCTTTTTGGTGGCATGGATGGGTACGTGGATACTGAGTAGTAAAAGGGAAGGTTTTTTTATGGTTGGGTTACTTGGATGGAAATTGGAACCCTTTTTGCACACAGTCTCTTCCCCCCCACCTTTTGCCCCCTCCCTATTCCCTTCTCCAGCTGTTGTCTGATTGGGAGACTAAGGAGGTGCTACCTAACCCTGAAACAAATTCCAGCACTGTCAGGGTGATGGGTTTCCCTTTGTTCCCACAGGAAAAACTGATGGCTGCTTTTCCTGTTTCTGTTTTTGTTTCCCCTTATAGGAACTGAAGGGAGGAAAGACCTACTCCAAGGTAAGAGCAGGAGCATAGCAGACTGGGCTGTCCTATGTCTCGTTCATGCTTCAAGCACATCAGCATGATGACAAATGACTAGGGGAGGAATTTCTCAGGAAGCGGGGCTGTGTTTGTATGTAGCCAGGGATCAGATTTATTTACTTCCCTGAAGCCAAAGGGTTGAGACTTGCCAGGATGGATTCCAGATCCCACTGAATGAATTAATTTGAGAGAGGAATTGGGTTCACCCAGAATTGCTGACTGCCACAGACTGAAACTTTGGGGAAGTTCTGAGTTGGATATGAACTGTGTATGTAATCTGCTACCCTCCCCCAAGAAGGGCTGCTAGCTGGGTTAGCTGACCCTTGGACAAGGATCATACAGCCAGACTGGAGCTCTGGGTGCGGCAAAATATGCTTATGACAGCGCTGTGGACTTGACAGGGCTTTACGTAGAGAGAACTGATACCTCCTTCCTCCTCTCAGGCCAGTGTAATTTAGGAGCCTCCTGTCTACCAGAGACACAGTGCGCTCAGTTGCTTCCTTCTCTGGTCTCACTGGAAGGAGAGAATAGGTTGGCTTCAGGGTGGTATCTGCCCAGATCCCAAAGCCAGCTGCTTGCACTTTTAAGGTTGTTCTTGTTTGGCCTGTATGAAATGGGTTGGTCTTGGCTTCTAACGTGCAGGTGTTCAGGACACACACAGCCCCGTCACAGCGCACTTCATTAGGCACCCTTGCTGACGAGCATCTGAAGCTAAGGAATCTGCCTTGGAGAATGCATTGCTTGCATCCTTACTCCTGGGTTGAGGTGTATGGGTGGAGGATGCTGTTGCTGCCTACGCTGTTCCTTTTCTGTGGCTAATTAGAACATCAGTCTCTAGGGCTGTCAGGTTCTTTAAAAAAAAAAATTGAATTTAGTGAAAGAAAAACTATTCTCTCACTGTGTAGAGCTGTTTACCCCGCAAGAGCGGCATGGCTGGGGGGGGAGAGATGTGTGCCGCCTAGTGAAGTGTTTGTGCATGGATGTGCTTCCCCCCC